TCCTACAGGGCAGGATGGGCCAAGGGGTTAAGGGAGGACAAAGGGTGGCACTCGGCTCGGGCCGGGCATGGGACAGGGCACTCCAAAATGGTGTTTGCTTCCTTAATTAAGAAGGATGGAGGAGAAAGGAGATCAGAGAGAAGGATGAGCCTTAAATATTAGATTCTCCTCTAGAGCACAGCCCAGTAGCCTTTCCGCTCCCAGACCCTTGACTTTCTACCCTCCCTTGGGTATTCATTCCAGACAGAGAAGGAGCTGGACCCAGATGGGCTAAAGAAGGAGTCGGAGCGTGATCGGGCAATGCTGGCTCTGACATCCACTCTCAACAAACTCATCAAAAGGCTGGAGGAAAAACAGAGTCCAGAGCTGGTTAAGAAGCACAAGAAAAAGAGAGTTGTCCCCAAAAAGCCTCCCCCACCACCTCAACCTACAGGTGAGAGCATCAGAAGAGAAGGAGCAGCCAGTCAGTTGTCTTCACCCTTCAGGGGGCCTCGTTCCCAGAGGGCATTGCCTTCTTGCCCTTCTGAGAGTTCACGTTCTCCACACTCTTTCTGGAGCACTGTTCTCACTGTTCCCTTCTTCCCACCATTTCATCCCTGGCACGGTCACCTCCTGTTCAGCCTGTGGAAAGCATCCTTTAGACCACGTCTGTCTGCTTTTCTGGTTTGCTCCTGCACACACAGTGCCTAGTGCTCTGCCTGGCACATGGTGGGTGATCAGCAGACAGTAATGGAATGACCATGAGCCTATGTGGTGAAAACCACATGGCTGAGAAGGTGCAGCCTGCTGACAACTAGGACTTTGCCTGGGAGAGGCCCCCTCTGTCAGGGTATGAATTGGTGAGCCAATAGCATGGCTAGATTTTATTCCTTCTTACACCTCTTTGTGTCCATTCCACAGGGCTCTATGGGCATGGAGATCAGACATTCCAAATGGAATGTTCCAGTAGTGTCAAACCTTGCATCTCTCTGTCTCTCACTAAACCCTGAAATAGCTTTAAAGTATCAACATGGAGGCCCAGACCACAACTTTCCAATTTGCTTCTTAAAACTTTGTTGGTGCAGGTGGTCTGATTTTTGTTTCAGAAAACAGAGCCATTATCCTTTAGGTGACAGGCAGCACTTCTGGGTAGGGGAAGAAGGAAGGCTGCAGTTGGTGGGGGAGCCTAGAGACTGAAGTCAGAGTGGGGAAGCCACTGGTTTTTTGAGCCGTGGGTTGTATGCGTGAAGTGGAATGGCTGCTAAGCCCACGGATGGCTTAGGGAGAGGTGACCACCATGACCCCTAACCCTGGAGTCACGGCTCTGCTTTGTGTCTCCCTGTGTGTCTCCCCCTCTAAGAGGAGGATCCTGAGCACAGAGTCCGGGTCCGGGTCACCAAGCTCCGTCACGGAGGCCCCAATCAGGATCTGACTGTCCTCGAGATGAAACGGGAAAACCCACAGCTGAAACAAATCGAGGGGCTGGTGAAGGAGCTGCTGGAGAGGGAGGGACTCACAGCTGAAGGTGGGCCCTGGAGGGCGCTGGTGTCAGCGCTGTTGGAAGGGCATGCCACCAGAAGTGGACGGGCTGGAGACCGGGGGGCAAGGGGCCTGCCCTGAGGCTCCCAACCATCCTGCTTCTCATGGCCCTACTGCTCCTTTCCAGGGAAAATTGAGATCAAAATTGTCCGGCCAGGGGCTGAAGGGACCGAAGAGGATGCACGTTGGCTGACTGATGAGGACACGAAAAGCCTCAAGGAGATCTTCTTCAATATCTTGGTGAGAGGCCTCCCCCCCACAAGCCCTGGACCTCCAGCCCTCCCCCCAGCCTGCCTGGTTTCCAGAGCATGGTACAGACTCATGTTGTAGGCAGCCCCCAGTTTACCCATCTGGAAGCAGGGGCTCAGTGTGTGGCCCTCAGCGCAGCCCCTTGACAGCATGTGACCCTAGTCTTTACCTCCCCCACCCTGGGCTGGCTGTCACTGAACTTCCCTGGGAGCTCGAGCACCCACAGCTCCCATGGCTTGACAGTCAGCAACTCCAGCCCATCCTACTGTCTCCCCGCAGGTGCAAGGAGCTGAAGAGGCCCAGAAAGAGCACCAACGGCAGAAGGAGCTAGAGAGCAATTACCGCCGCGTGTGGGGCTCTCAAGGGGGAGAGGGCACAGGGGACTTGGATGAGTTTGACTTCTGACACCTCCACTGCAACTGGCCTTTGAGGAGTCCAGAGTCTTCCTAGACTGGCCCACCTCCCCCCCACCTCCCCACCCCTAGCACCACGAAAGGCCAACAGCAGGGCAGAGCTGAGCTGTGGACCTGGCAAGCCCAGCTCTGGGGGAGTGGAGGGCCTTGGGGTGAGTGCTGCTGCTGCCACCGAAAGTCGCCCTGCAGCCTCACCAGGCCTGGGATTTTTGTTTTCCTGGGCTTTTCCCAAATCCCCTGGCTTTCCTCCTTGGCTGTTCCCCTTATCATCCCCTAACGATAGGATAGGATTCTTTCCTTCTCCCCCCCCCCCGCCCCGAGATTCATTTGGTAAGACATTTTGAGCAGAATAGGGTAGAGAGATCGTGGACAGTGGGATGGTTTAGCAGGCCCTGAGAAAACGTGCTCCCGCCCTGACCCTGTTTAGAGTCACTTCACCCCTTTCCTTGGGATTGCCTTGGGATTTCCTTCTCCTGTTCCCTGTCCACGCTGTCCCCTACAATCTGTGCTTCTTAGTTAAGGAGCTGTCAGCTCTGTTGCTAAGGAAATGAGAGAATGTTGCCCATCACCTCCGACACAATCCCCGCAAAAAGGGTGGGGTACAGAGCCACCACCCACCATGTTCTTGAACAATCAGGTTTCAAAATAAAGGACTGGACCATCCATCAATCCATCAGTCTCTTTAGGTGGGATGCATAGGTTGGAGCTCAAGCAGGCAGTAGGCTTGGTGTTCTTTCAGGATGGAGGGCACATTCTCTGATCCTGTTCTTTGCTTCACACCTCCTAGACAGCATACGAGAGAGACCAGGATCGCTAAGCAAGGCTAGCCTGGCGAACATTGAAAGAGACACTTGCAGTACCATCATCCCTCCTTTTCCTCATCCGTCTGCCTCGGTTCCTTCCCTTCTTCAGCACCAATTCCTTCCCTTATATCCTGAAACCCAAAATGCACACCCCATCCCCCTACATGGAGCCCCCTGCTGCTGTTCTTCCTGCTATAGTGTGCCCCAGACTCTATGTGCCACCCACACCCTACACCCCCTGTCCATTCAGCATTTCCCAGAAGGCCTCCACCTTTGGCCGTGCCCAGAGAGAGGGCCACTGCCCACACGCCAGCTCCTGAGTATGCCAAGGGTAGGCAGAGCTGGTGTCTTTATCTCTCCCATTGCCAAATGCAGGTGTGGATTCCCTCACATTCCCCCTTCTCTCCTCCCAGTACAGGACTCTAAAGGCAGAAAGGGGCCCAGAATCCTCTGGCTCCCTGTCCTGGAGGGGTCCTGCCTTTCTGCTGAAGACTCTCCATGGGCTCACAGATAAGAAAAGTTACAGAGCTCCCAGGTGTCCGAACATGGGAAGTGAGGGATTCAGCTGTTGAAGGGAGTTACATGAGATTGACCCTCTTGCTGAATAGGGTAGACTGGTGCTTATTGTGCTTGTTATACTTAAGTTTTATTTTGAGATGTAAAAGGCTTTAAAATCCTGCTTCCCCAGACTCATTTGTGTATCTTGGGGGAAGAATACTTCAACTGGGCAAGGGTTTAGACACTGCCTCAAGGGCAGCTGTAGTCAGAATGCTGGTCCAAATCTCCACGTTCCACGCCCCCCCCCCCGGTCTACCATGAGAGGGGACTTGAAGAAGCTGGAGAAACTCTAAATGCTGTTTCCTCATTGGTAAGTCATGAATGACAGGAGGATAGCTGTGAGCATAAGTGGGGTGGTGTGTGTGTCATGCTCGGCACAGCACCCAGAGTGAGTGCTCACCACCCTCATTACTGTGAACCAGCTCCTGAGCTCTGGAGTCACTTGACTACTTGCAGGCAAGAGAATCCCAAAAGTGATCAGAAGCTACAGTACAATCTTTTAAATTGGCAAAAGCAAGAGGCTGGAGCAGGAGGAGGTATCTGATCGAGATAAAGTCTTGGCATCATTGGAAAGCTGAGTTCTAGAATCTTACCATATTAATCATTTTTTACTTTTAATAATTCCTTTTACTTTGGCTCTGAGCAAAATTCCTATAGAGCTTGGGAAAGGTCAGTTTGCCCCAGTGTGATAGGGCCAATAAAAGGAAGGGAATAGGGTTTGTGGCAGATTGTGACCAGGAAAGGTTGGGAAGGAGCTGGCTGATGGCAACAGGGACCCAAGCAAGGAGCCCACAGTGAGCTATGAAGATGGCATGAGTGTAAGGTCAGCAACTCCCCTTACCCACCCAGCAGGTACCGTTCTAAGTTCCTATGTGGCCATAACCTGGATGGCTTGTTTTGTTACTCCATCCTCCATCACCCTTTACAACTCCCCCACAAGACGCTTGGTGTTGGGGTTTGCTGTGGGGATTGCTGACAGCATGACCGTTTCTCACTGGCTGGAAATTAAAGGAACTTCGGGGTGGCTGGCTGGCAGTTTCCTTTGCAGGGAATTTTATTCTCTCCAGGGTTTTTGTTTCCTCCCTGTATGCCCTCAGGTGCCCAGGCTGAGAAGTGGAGATGACGTAAGAGAGCCTAGGGTCTCGGAGCTTAAGGGTGGAATGTCCAAGTCCTCAGGGCGAGTCTTCTTTGCACCCCCCCCTTCCTTTCCTTTTACCCAGACCATGCACACACCTGCCTCTGTACCTGTCACTGCACCTGCACCCTTGAATCCACCTTTCCCTGGTCATACCAGTATTCTGAGCGTCACTTTGCCTAGGACCCTGCAGAGCAGCAGCTTCCATGTCAATGGGACCCAGGTTGTGACCACACCTTGTCAGCTTGGTGCCACACCTGCAGCTGAACATCTTGGGGCCGGTGGGCATGGAGGGTCAGAACCAACTCTACCCAAAGATGCTGATGCTACCCACTGATTCCTTGAGGAAGATGGCACATGTGGCAGCTGTGACCAACGTGCACAGCCTGCTGGCCCAATACTGCCCTCCCCAGCCTCTCTCTTAGCTTCACAGAAGTATTGGTAGTGGCTACATGCAGGCTATGGCTCATGGAGGCAACACTAACCTCAGGCTGCTGTGGCCTTGTTGGCCACATAGATGACACAGAGGTGGGCAAATGCTTAGCTGGCATGGAGTGTATAGACACCAGGGACCTCTGCAGCCAGCTTGGAAATCTCTCCAAGGATATCTTCCATCTCTCTGGAGTGCACCCTGACTGGGGCCAAGAGAGGGGCCCCTACTGCAACCTCTACCTGGTACCTGGTGCTCAAAGTGAGCAGGCCGGCCTGGGGCAGCCTCCCTGGAGTGCTTGCTAGGTACCCTCTGAACAGATATTTTTCAGAATACAAACACATGCTACTAAGGTCATCCAAGGTTATGTAGCTATGAAGTTGGAGGGCCAGGTTTCAAAATCAGATCTGTGTCCAAAGTTCCTGCTCTTAACAAAAGCTGCCCATCTTCTCACCTCTCTCCACAGGCCTGCCCTCGCCTCTACACATCACACTCCAACTCTTCCCCAGGACTGGGGTCATCTTGAGAGTCAGGGACTTCTCTGCTCCCAGGGTCCCCACTGTTGTCCCAACCTGCCCATGTCCTTCTACTACATGACCCCAGAACTGTTATAGACAGGGAAACCACCTGTGCCGATAGGTACTGCCCTGCCACTAGCCCCAGTGGGAACCACCTCTGCCTGCCCCTCTCCCACCCTAGTTCCCCACCTTGACCACAACCATACCCTGACCTGCCTCTTGAAGAACAGACCAGCAGCTCACCCCCTAGACAAAATCACTTCCTCTTTAATTGCTGTTGAAGAGTCACACCACCTGCCTTGAGGAGATGAGGGGGGCATTCCCCCCTACCCCACCCCATTCCCCTCCCCAATTACCTGGTCCTTTGCAAAATATTTTAGCCAGGGGAAAAAAAAAAAAAAAAGACCAGAAACCACTGACACAGACAGCCCAAGAACTGGGTTGATTGAGGGAGGCAGGGCTGGGCCAGCTAAGTCCACCCCACCACCCCTTTTTTGGGGATGGGGAAAGGGGCCTGGAAACCCTCAGTCACCTCACATCCTCTCAGCCCCGCTGGAAGGGCTCATGAGGGTGAGGGTCTGGAACTGCTCCGATGGGAGGGAGGGGCTGGACAGGAGAACAGTGGGGGAGGGGTCCCATTGTAGGGGCGCCCCTGCCCCAGATCACCATGGGCGCTGCACAGTCACAGGTACGCAGTCACGGTCACAGACACTCACAACCCGAGAGCACTCCCACCCCATCCCACCCCCTGCCCACCCTTGGCTTCCCTTACCCCAAAACGCCCTCCCCACGCCCCTGCCCGCCCCTGTCCCCAATGTTGGGGAACAAAGCAATAAATTACAAGGACCCCCCAGCCTCACTTAGCTGGCTCCTCCTCCATCCCTTCTCCCTCCCCAGATAGTAGTAGTGAGGAGGGACCCAGGCTCTTGCTCCCCCAGCCCGTAAGCTTCCATCCATAGATAGGTGTAAGGGGACGTCCTAATTTCCACTCCTCATGGTCCCTTTCACGGAAAGGGTTGGGGACCCCTCCACCCCCACAGGCAGCAGGGGTCCTGCCCCTCGCTGCCCCTCCCCCCTTTACTGGGCAGTGAGATCGGCATGGAAGGGGTGGGTCCCCAAATTGGCCCCAAGTCCCAGGGCTAGCTCTCCTACGTACTAACCCCTCCCTCTGGCGTGGCATCGCCCCAGGAGCCAGCCTGGGTTTGGGTTCCCGCCGTGGGGGTGATTCAGCGCAGGCAAGACCGGGTCCTTGTCCCGCCCCCAGGGGGCGCAAGCGGGCGCGTCCTAGAGCCCCGGAGCTCAGGCCGCGGCGGGGGCCCGGTCCGCAAACACCTAGCGGGCAGACCCAGAGCAATCCGAGTGTGGGGACGGTGGACAGGGGACATGTTGAGCTGGGGTCTCCATGCCTCGGTGGGGAGAGGGAGGTGAGTTTGTGTCTTCTGGGAGGCGTGGGGGCTGTGTCTTCGTGGGGGTGGGAAGTGCTCCCGTGGGGCAGAGTGCGGATTGGAGGGGTAGGTGAGTGCATCTGTCCGGCGGTCCACCCGGTGAGGTCGTGCCCGGCTAGCGAGGGGGTGGGGGTGTTTCTGCCGGCGGCAACTATACCAGCGCGACCGGGGCGTCCGCGCGGCCCACGCTGGCAGCGCTGCTCCGGCGGCGGGGGCTGGGCGTGGCGGTGATGCTGGGCGTGGTGGCCGCGCTGGGCGTGGTGGCCGAGCTGCCGCCCTCGCTCGGGCAGCCGTGCTGGAGCAGGATATCCGCGCACAGCTGGCTTCCCGCCTGGCGAGCGTAGAACAGCGCGGTGCGGCCCTGGGCATCGCGGGCCGCCACGTCGGCGCCGTACTGGAGGGCGGAAAGGGCTGCGTGACTGCGAGTCCCGGCGCTGCCCCCCCACGCCGTCTCCCCGAGACCCCCGAGGCCTCGTTGGGGTCCCTGGGGAAGCTGGGCTCTCCCGCGCTGGGTGCTCTGCGGGTGGATCCCCCGGCCCTCTTGGCCCGCCGCTGCCCACATACCCACAGCAGCAGTTGCGTGATGACGACGTGTGCGAGCTCGGCCGCCAGGTGAAGCGGGGAACGGAGCTGCGGGTCTTCTACGCTGGTGTCTGGCGGCCCGTGTCGTGCATGGGCCAGAAGCAGCAGAACGGTGGCCACGTCCTGGGCCTGCACCGCGGCCCACAGCTGGCGGCCCAGGGGCTCTCCGGGGGTGCCCAGCGGCGCCAGGAACAGCAGCTGCTCGTACTTGGCGCGAATCCACGACTCGCGCTCTTCCCTGGGAGGGTCAACGGTTAAGGGCTCAAGGGACCCCCTAGCCAGGACCTCTGCCTCCTACCCGGGGACCCTCTCAGGACCTGCACACCCCCAGCGACCCTCTCTCTGCTCTGTTCCTTCAGCTTACCGCGAAGAGTCCCGTGTGGGCTTGGCGCGGCCCCGCGTGTCGCTCTCCCACACGCGATTGGCCATGTCGTTGCCAATGGCAGTCAGCACCAGGGTCAGCTCCCGCGGCCAGTCGTCCAAGTCCAGCGAGCGAACACGGGAGAGGTGTGTGCCCAGGTTGCGGTGGATCCCGGAACACTCGATGCATATGAGCGCTCCCAGGTTCAAGCTGGCCCAAGTAGGGTCTGGGAACCAGTGCATAGGTGGGCTTTCAGCCAGGCGGAATGGACCCCCAGCATTCACCAACTCCAGGGAACTTCGCCTGAAACACCACCTCCCCAGCCCCTCTGCTGCCCCCTTGTACTCACTGGGGGCCCCACAGTCCACGCAGGTAGAGTTCCCCTTGGCGTTCCGGATTGCTTGGATGGCCACGGCTTCGCTTTGGCTATCTGTGCGCAGCTGCAGAGAGGGTTGAGGTTGGCAATGCCTCTCCCTCAACGCCCTCTTTTCTCCTCAGACCTCTGCTCTCCTCCCACCCACCTCACCCCTAAACCTTTACCTTGACCTTGCTGCTCTCACAGCATTGCAGACTGGCTAGGATCTGACTCTCAATGGCCTGGACCCAGGAATCTCGCTCCTCAAAACTGGCTGCCTCAAAATGCCACGTCTGACCGGTGCTGGATACAATCAGGAACTCGAAGTTTTCCTCTGGGTGGTGAGGGGGATAGGATGGGGTCATGAGTGGCTGGGTTCAAGCAGAGACTGCTTTCCCCAAACCCATCCTCCCTGATGTCCATCCTGAGCCCCTGGGAGTGGGGCAGTGGGGGTAGGGAAAGCAGAGGGTAGTGGATAGCAGGAAGCCCAAGCACATGCAGGGGAAGGCAGGGACACCCACACCCCTCTGCACCCCAGCTGAGCAACCCTCCCGCTCCCCGCTTGTTACCTGCTTTATAAATATTTCTTAAACTACCAAAGGATTTTAGTTTCCACATTTTGCGCTTGGCTGGTTTCCCGAAGCGAAGGAGATAGAGATAGAATAGAGAGGAGAAGAGAGAAAAAGAGACCAAGAAAGGAGAAATAGAGAGGCAGATGGAGACAGAGACAGAGTGCCAGAGACAAAGCAGGACAGACAGATGGGGAGAGAAAGCAGAACTAAAGTCAGTGGCCCCAGAGCAGAGTGGAGCAGAAGCCAAGAGCCATGAGAGTAGGCAGATCTGGAACAGGATCTCAGCACCCGGCAGAGAGCAGGGGCAGTGGGGACAGGTTATCATGACCAGTAAGGAGCTGGGGCTCTAGGAGGAGAGGGGAGGGGCAGGAGCTGAATGAGCATGGAGGAAGGGGACAGAAGCTGGATCCCAGGGCTGGGATGACAAGGGCCTAGGGCCTGGGAGTGGGCAGTCACTGGGGGACAGGAATGGGGATCATTGTGGTCAAGGGCTGTTGGGGGAACTCGGCCATTGCTGAGAGTTCTTGGGAGCAAGGGCTTGGTAGTCACAGAGTCCAGGAGCTGAGGAGTCAATGGGGGATACTAAGGTTGGGACTGAATCACTGGGGGACAGGGGGGCTTCTGAGTGCAAGGGCTGGGGGAGGATAAGTGGAGTTGAGGACAGGAACAGGAACTAGAGGGTCACTAGGAGAGGGAACAGGAGCTGTAGACTTATGGTTGTCATTGAGAACAGGGGCTGGAGACTACTGGAGAAAAGACTTTGGCTGGGGACAAGGGAGGAGAACAGGGCCTGGGAGAGTCCACTTTTCACTAAATTATGTACAGTGGTGATGACAGCCAAGCCCTCAGCTCAGGCACTTTTCCTCCTGCTGTAGGAGCTAGGTCAGGAATCTGATATTGGGGACAAGGGTCCAGGGTAGGAGTGGAACTGCCACCAAAGCCTCACCTTCAGCCTGCCCAGCTGAGCCTTCAGTCTTAGATGGTGTTGTCAGTTTTTTCCTCCGCTGCTTCTTCACCATGGGAGAAGGAGGGGGTTCTCGACTTAGGGGGCTCAGATCTCCAGATGGGGTACAGTCTTAGGGAGGAGAACAAAGCCTCAGTTGGCCCCTTACACAGATCTCTTCATTTCTCAATAGTTTGTCTTCTTCCCTGAGCTAGCTTTGGCATTTTAAGGGGCCCCTCCTCAACTGTCCCTCTCCAAGTGTCCCTCAATCATTCCTGGGGGGGTGGGCAGATGAGTGGTTTAGAGTCAGACCTGCGTTCAGATCCCGGCTCTGCCACTTACTGGCCTTGAGACCTTGAGCAAATCACTTAATCTTCTGAGCCTCAGTTTCTTCCTTCCTAAAATGGGGATAATAATCTTGACCTGACAAGGCTGCTGTGAGGGTCATTTGTTGCAATGTTACTTGCTATTAAAATATATATATATAATATATATACACACACACACATATATATAATATATATATATATATTTCAAATATGCCAACCACTAACAGCCAACTATGTGCCGGACAATGTTCTGGATAATGTTCTCAGTCTTAAAGCCTCAAGTTAAGTCTCTGAGGTAGCAACTATTATTTCCACTTTCCAGATGAGGAAACTGAGGCATGGAAAGGTCAAATAGTTTGCCCACATGTCAAGCTAGGACTCCAGCTCAGGTGGTTAGCTCTGAAGCCCACTTGTCTTAACCATTATGATAAGACACCGTATGACTGAGCTTGGTGCCTGGCACCCAGTGGATGGGTGTTCGTGTGGGGCTCCATGTGCTCACTCATGCATGTATTTCAGCCTCCAAGGCTCCACAGAATCCATTTCCCACCCACATTCCATTTGGATCTGAAAGACAGTGGATGGAGGGTGGTCCCCACTGACCAGTGCTGAGGGCTCGGGCCAAATTCCGGTCTGGCTTCAGCAGGTGCTTGGATGTCTGGTCTGGTGGTAGCTGCAGGGAACTGGGGCTGGGGCTGGGGCTTGGCATGGGAGTCGTGGCATCTGTTGGAAGACAAAACCTCCTCAGAGAGTGAGCCTCTCTGTCTCCTAGCCCCTTCTTCATGGGGTCCCTGTCAGTCATCCACCTTCTTGCTTCCGTCCTTCTCCCTCTCACAACGTCTGGCCCCTCTCCTGCCCCTTTGTCATGAGCCCCACTCACCAGGAGCTTCACCCATCTGGACAGTGCTCATGTCCTTGACCAGCCCATTAATGCTGGCTGAGGGGCCAAAAGCAGAGATGGCCCTTGGAGGCCGCTTCCCAGGGACTTTGACTGTTGTTCGTAGCAAGTCCATCTCCTTGCCATGGGTACTGTGGATGTAATCCTGGAGGGGCACAGGGAAGGTTGTGGTCCTTGATGGTGTGGGAAGCAACAGAGAGATGGGAGAGGGGCCCTGAGAGTGGACTGAGTTAGGATGAGCTTCTAGAGCAGCGGTTCTCAACCTGTGGGTCGCAATCCACAGGAACTGTATTAAAGGGCTGCAGCATTAGGAAGGTTGAGAACCACTGTTCTAGGGGGTGGGCCCATCAGATTTGGGCCAGCACTGTCTCTTCCAGAAAGCATTCCCTAAATCGTTTTTCCCTGAACAGGGAGAGGCCCTTTCTGGTGCTCGCCCACTGGACTCTGATAGTTCCTGGAGAGATGTATTTACCTTTACTTTCATGGCATGGGCACATGGTAGGCTCTTAATGCATGCTTGCTAAACATAAGAGAACAGGACTAGAGCTTTCCAGAAATGATGTTAGTGCTCGTCAGAGGTACGGACAGGTAGAGCTGGAAGGGCATCCAATGCTGGCCAGTGTGGCTCAGTCGCTGCCACTCACGTTAATGCTGGGGTGGTAGAGTAGGAAGCCATTACTAGACAGGGTCACATATTTCTTCTTCCATTCTTTGTTCAAGGAATTGCCACTTCGTTTTAGTAGGAAACTCTGGAGTGTGGAAAGACATGTGTGGGAGAAAAGCCAGCTAAAACCAGCTGCCTGCAGCCTGCCCAGGCCATGCATCACTCACTTGTTTGATGGGGATGGCTCGCCCACTCCCTGTCGTCTCTCCCCGACTGTCCAAGCTTCGTTTCTCGGAGTCACTACCCCGACGATTCTAGAATAGTTATTGGAATCAGAGGATGGATAGAGAGATACACTGATGGAAGGACAGGAAAGACAGATGAAGAAGGGCCCAACAGAGGGGTCAAGGACAAGGGAAAAGGGGTAGGTAACAGGGAAAAGGGCGATGAGGGTGGTCAGCTGATTCAATACCGCAAAAAGGCTGGTCCTGCGCTTGGCTGCCCGGTGCAGGGAGCCTGGGGTGCTCAATCCAGCCACTGCACCTGCCTCAGCTCGAAGCTCCCGGTGACCGACATTGGGTGAAGATGGGAGGGAAGAAGAGTAGTCGCTAGTGTGGCCCCCGTTACTAGCCTGAGTGTACAAGGAAGAGTTAGCATGGCTGAGAGGCCCCCACACCAGGCTACACCTACATCTAATTACAGGGAATTGGAGACATTCCTTGATATCTTCACTATTTATTTATATTATCATTAATACTTTAAAAAATCCTCACCAGCATTGTTACAGTGCTTTAAATTTTGCAAAGGTTGGCTCTACCAGAATTATGCTATATAATCTTCTGAAACCTAGTCAATTTCCAGTCCAGTGCTCTTTATACAAATGATTTCACTGTTCCCCTGCTTCCCCAACCTCCTGGGGTACTTTGTGCCTTTCCTTGGATCCCTAGTCCCTCTTCTGCATCTTCCCACGCCTCTGTGGACCTCTGTGCACCCCAACTCACCTGCCCAGCTACAGGGGTGGAAGCAGCTGAGTGGCTTGGGGAGCTGGGCAGGGACTTGCAGGCAGCCAGAAGCTGTTGCTGTTTGCGTAAGGTCACCACCTTCTGGGCCACTGGAGGGGAGAAGGAGTTGGTGGGAGAGGAAGTGTGAGCAGGCCAGATACCTAAGGCAACCCTTCCATGCCCAGCTTTGAGAAATCCCTAGTAGATAATAGCGTGCCCAACCTCCTTGTCACTGTGGCTCTATGCTACCCGTGGCTATGGCCTTGCCAGCTACCTTCAACCTAAAAAGATCTTGTGACTACTAAGCAAATCTTTTCTGGCCTCCCTGATCTCTCCTCCCTCCCACAGAGGCTAAGATCACTCCCAGAGAGAGTCCTGGATGCCTATCTCTAAGAATATCCCAGGTCTCTAGCTTCTAGCTCCCCACATATCCTGGAGACCACCACACTCACCCTCCTGGAAGACCCGGTCCACATTGAGCCCATAGGTTGCACACGTCTCATAGTAGCTGCAGCGTTTCATTTCTGAACACAGGGCCCGGGCACGAGCATCGCCCACCACCCGAGGGGAGGAAGCACTGATCCTGTCTGAGGGGATGGCAAGGGGGCAGGATTGGACAATAGACCCCTTCCCCACTTTTCATGATTCCCTTTCCATTGTGTTTGGGCTCAGGCTGGGCCCACTGGGGATGGGGTGTGGGAAAACATCCCTCCTGCAACCAAGTGGAATGAGCATGAATAAGCCCTTTTGGGGTGCTGGGCCCAGCTCACATTCCCAGTTGCAGATGAGTAGGCTGGGTGAGCTCTGTGTGTGTGTGTGTATGTGTGTGTCTGTGTCTTCAAGGAATACTCCAGAAGAGAGTGGTGCCTCCTGAAGAGATCTGAAATAGTTCAGACTCACACATGAGTGATAATCACCTTGCCCTGTAAACCCACAGATCCCTGAACGAGGGGTAACATACTTGACATATGAACAAGGAAGAGGATGGGAGTCTGTGTGTAACAGGTGGATCACTCACTCTGCAACAAGAAGCCAGGAGGCAAGCAACAGGTGGAGGCAGGCACCTGCAGAGCAGGCATTCAGACCAAAGCCCTGCCTGCTGACACACCTGAGTACTAGAAAAGTACTTTAGTCTTGGGAAAGCCTCTGAGTCACTACTTCGAGAACTAAAAGGTTTTCTGTCCTCTATTTTTCCATGATTTCCTTTGTGCTTTCCCTTTGTTTTCAGATAAGTTCCTTTAAAACATGTCAGCCTGACCCAGCTGTAGCAAAGTGAAGATGGAAAAGAATTTCTATCCATACTAGGACTTAAAGAAATGGCTGTGTGAGAACACAAGTAGGTAAGATCACAGAAGCAGAACAGAATGATCTGTACTTTGACTGTCCTTCCCCCAAGAGATCCCCTTTTCCCTACTGACCTTGGGAAGTTTGTGTTTGGTTTCATAATTCCCTTTTCTTGGAGATTGGGTTCCTTCCAGTTTACTACAATCCAAGTGGCCATTTCTGCCTCTATTGAGCTCTGGCCCATGTTGGACAATACCTCAGTGACCTCTTCAGGGCCTCCTCTGAAAGCAGTGCTTCCCCAACCCCTCCTTACCTTGTGTCCCCACCAGTGCCAAGGCCAGGCCTCCTCGTCCCTCCCCCCGGAGGGAACTCAGCTGCCCGTGGAGACGGCTCACAGCTTGGAAACTGTTCTCATCCTCCAGGCTGAAGACAAAGATCACAGCATCTGCCCAGCCTGAGAACTTGCAGGGGGTGAGGGAACAAATGGAGAGTCAGACAGGTCCACTCCTTTGTTTTGTTTTGTTTTCTTATTTTATTTTAAGACAGAGTCTCACTCTGTCACCTTGGGTAGAGTGCTGTGGCACCTTAGCTCACAGTAACCCCAAACTCCTGGGCTTGAGCAATCCTTTTGCCTCAGCCTCCCAAGCAGCTTGGACTACAGGCACCCACCACCAGTAGCCTGGCTAATTTTTCTGTCATTTATTTATTTATTTTGAGGCAGAGTCTCACTTAAGTCAGGGGAGCGTAAGAGTAAGTCTCACAGTAGAGTGCTGTGGCATCACAGCTCACAGCAACCTCAAACTCTTGGATTCAAGTGAGATTCTTGCCTCAGCCTCCCGAGTAACTGAGACTACAGGCGCCTGTCATGACGCCTGGCTATTTTTAGAGATGAGATCTCCCTCTGGCTCAGGCTGGTCTGGAACCTGTGAGCTCAGATAATCCACTCACCTTGGCCTCCCAGAGTGATAGAATTACAGGCATAAGCCACCGTCCTGGCCCCTAGTTTTTCTATTTTTAGTAGAGACAGGGTCTTCCTCTTGCTCCCAAGTAGCTGGGATTACAGGTGTCCACCACTATTAGCCTGGATAGTTTTTCTATTTTTTAGTAGAGATAGGGTCTTCCTCTTGCTCAGGCTGGTCTCAAAGTCCTGAGCTAAAGCAATCTGCCTGCTGCCCACCTCAGCCTGCCAGAGTGCTAGGATTACAGGCATGAGCCACCGCACCTGGCCATGTCCACTCCTTTGGACGCTAACTCAAGATCTGAGAAACTAGAGCCCCTTCCTCAGCCAGTGCTGACCCAAGCCAGCTTACACCCCATCCTCCACCCCTCACCTTGGCATCAGGTGCCCCAGCTTCCTCTCGGATTAGCACCAGATGAGTCTGTCCATCAACCAACATCTCCTTCTTGTACTGCTCATCTGTCCAGAAGATTTGGAAGAGGCAATAGATCAGAGGTGATAGGTCACTAACCCTCCCATGCTCCCTGTACCTTAGCTATGGTGGCCTCTTCTCCCTGATCTCCCTACCTGCCTAGTCATTAATCTTACTCCTGATCCTTGACCCCAATCTTTAGCTTACTATGACTTTTGAGAACTCACTCTCTGTCTTCTCCAGCACCTCATATGAACCGGTCAGGAATCGGTGGATGAGTGATGACTTCCCACTCCTGGTGTCACCCAGCACACCCTGAGGACAAGGTTATGGAGAGAGATTGTGAGAATTAAGAGAAAGCAGGATATTTGGATTTGGACAATTCAGAAAGCCCAAAGAGACTGGCAGTGTTAAATCATCCAAGAAGGGCCCTACAGGGCCTGGATGACAATCAGGTGGGAGGTCAAGACTCGACTGTGGTAAGAAATAATCCCAGAACTCAAAGTGGACCACAAGTTGAAAAATATCTGTGATTCAGTACCGGTCTTTTGGTGTTGTGTTGTTTAGGACATATACTAGAACTGTATGTGTGTGACATGGCACAGCTCTAGGCACTAGTTGGAAAGTTTTACCCAATTCCAAACAAGGAACATGAAGGGCCAAAGGGCAGATATCAGAAATGAGAAGGCTGTAGGAGGTCCACGGACAAACAGGAAAGAGGGGATGGAAGCCTAAAGACTAGAGAAGAAAACTCTGTGAGGATGTGGAGCCCTGGGATGGTGCTCTGAAGGTAGACTCTCAGGAGAACTGGAAGACATTCTCCATTCTCACAGAGAAAGAGAAGGGGAGAGAAGGCAGTGTTGGGAGTGCAGTGGGTGGGAGGGCAGGTTCCCTACAGGTGAGGGGTCTGAGTTACCTACCAGGCGCAGTTCAGGAATGGAGCGGCTCAAAGTCCATTCCTGGCTATTGACCACAGCCTCTGTAAAGGGAGAAGGGCAGTAAGAGGGGAGACTTCCAGCCCAGGAGGGCTCAACCCTCAGCCACCCTCCTCCCTTGGTAGCTTCCCTGAACTCTCAGGACCCTGCCTGCGTGGGAGAGATGTGTGGAACGGATAGGTTTGAGAGTGGTCCCCAGTCCTCCCATCCCAGCCACTCTCCCTACAGCTGTTGCTGCCGCTCAGTGGTTGCTTAGCAACGGAGCTAGCAAGACAAAAATACTTCAGTTGGCATCTCCCTTAAAGCACATCTCCAAACGTGGGTCCCTGCCCCAGACAGGGAGATAGGGCCTCTGATAGTGACAGGTTCTTCCCTCTGGAAAGAGACTAGAAGAGCTCCTTCCGGATCTATTGATTCCCAGTGTGCTCCTGGGAGGAGGTGCTGGAACATAGAGAGTGGGTCTTCCTCAATCTCCATTTCACAGGAGAGAAACTGAAGTGAGGGCTTTCCCTCCTTTTTCAAGGTCAACAGGCACTGTGGCCCTAACCCTTCTCCACCGTCGAGGGGATAGAGCCTGTATTTTCCTATGCCTCCTCCCATAGCCTCCCCGCTAGCGCCCTCCAAAAGAATTGGGGAAGGGCTCCATCCCCTGGCAGAGAGAAGCCACAGGCCCGGGGGATAGGATGCTCCTTCCGCCCGCCGGGTCCAGCCCCCGCGCCTGACACTGGCCGGACGTTCCCGGGGCGCCGCAGCTGCGGTGAGAACTCTGGGATCCAGAGCCATCTGCTCCCACCCGCTCCTGAGCCAAACCCCAGGGGCCGCCTCCGCTCCCGGACCCGCCTCCCCTCTCAAGAGTGTGAGCCGAACCCAGAGTCCCCTGCCTGTCTCCTCCAGGAAAGAAAAAAAAAAAAGAAAAGAAAAGAAAAAATATATACATATATAAAATACACACATATATAAAATATACACCCCTCGGAACAAACCACTACTTTCGCCGCATCGCCTCCCGAGTCTCCCGGGGTGAGAACTGCCTTGCAGCAGCCCCGCCCCCCTGACTCACTCCGGGTCAGCCCCAGGAGGGTTCAGCGCAGCTGGGGGCGAGGGAGGGGCAGTGGGGGAAGGAGACTTCCCACCCGCACCCCTCACTTTGAGTCCAAATACTCAGCACGTTCCAGCCCCCGTGCACTCGCGCGCCGCCCATCCCGCTTTCACTTGATGGAAAACAGCACTAGCCTGCTCTCAGCCCAGGTGAAGACCTGCCCCTGGCTGGCTAGGAGCTGCCTACAAGGTCACTGTCCCGCCACGTGCCCCAAGTGCTCAGGAGAAACTGAGGCTTTCTCATCTCTTTCACCTTCAACGTTCCTCTAGACAAGGCAAAGCCGGGTTTCCACACTCCCAGAGTCCCGCTGAGGCTGGAAGTGGCTCTGGGGCTTCTCTGGGAGCAATTTCCTACATTCACTCTGACCAAGGGCATCATTTTCCCAGGGCTCCCTGAGTCCCTCTGAAATCAAGTCAGCTACCACGCCGCACAATGTAGCTACTCACCCTGCTTCTGGATTCCCTTTGCCCCCATCCTTGCCATCCTTGGCAAAGGAGTGAGCCTGGTTCACCCGCCCATCCAAGAGGAAACCTTCCCCAGTTTCCTGCACATCGCGCCCGCAACCCGAGCTGAGTCTTCCAGGTGCCCTCCCTTCCCTGTTCTCAGGCCCTGATCCTACTCACTAGGGGAGGTGCGGAGCTCTGCGCCCAGCAGCTCCCTGGACCCGCTGCCAGAAGACAGGCCCGGAGGTCCGGGAAGGGGCCCGGAGGCAGGAGGCCCCCCAGTGCTCTTGGTGAAGATGCCGCTGATAAACTTGAGCATCTTGCGGTCGCGAGTGGATGCTCGGCCCCCCTCCCGGCCCCGTTTCAGCCCCGGAGCTGGGGGTTCCAGAGTGATTGGAGGTGCAGGCCCGGGGGACTGCGCGGAGGCGGCAGCGACAGCAGCGGCAGGAGTTGGGGTTGCTGGCACGGTCAGCGGAGGAGAGGCGATAGTCGGACCCGGGTGCAAGTCACTGTTGTCCAAGGTCTTACTCTTGCCTTTCCGAGGGGACAATTTCCCTCGGACTCCGGCCCCAGTCGCGACCCCACCAGAGGTCGTGGCTGCACCACCTGCTCCTCCAGCGACTACCGCGGTGGCGGCAGCCGCAGAGGCAGAAGCTCCAGTCCCAGAGCTGCTCTTTGACCCCTTGACCCTGGGCTTGCCCTCGCTTTCCGGCCATGACAGACGGCTACCCGTGTTCTTGCTCCCGCCGGCTTTGGCTCCACTCGTGGTCACCGTCTTGCAAGGCTTGGGAGCGGGCGGAGGAGGCGCCACCTTGAGCCTCCGGTTGCCGGTGCCAGGGTGCGGGGAGGACGAGCCAGGGACGCCGCCACCCGCTCGGCCTTCGGGTTCCGGGCCCCCCCAGCTCGGGCTGCTGAGTAGGGGGCGCCTGGAGGAGGTGGGGGCACCCCCGGGTTTGGGGTCGGGGCTCAGCCCCCCGGAGAGCGGGGGTCCCGGAGGGGCGGCCCAGAGGGAAAGGCGGCGGCCGGGAGCGGGGGAGACTGGGCGGGCCGGACTGGCCGGAGCTGGGGACAGGGTGGGGGGCTCTGCGCCCCCCGCACCCACGCTGCTCGTGCTGATCCACAGCGCATCCTGCCGGTGGAAGAGACGCTCGTGCCGCTTCTTGCCCGGCTCCTCCGAGCCTCGGGGGCTACCAGGATCCCCGGCTTCGTTGCCTCTGGCACCCGAGGTGGCGACCGCGGCCACAGATGGAGAAGGCGGTGGCGGAGGCACCGACTCGAGCTTGACCAGGGTCAGCGAGATGAGGTAGGTCGTTGTCCGGCGCTGAAGCGCGCCCGCGCCCCGGCTCATGGGGCCCAGAGACCCCCGAGCTGGGGAGGGGACTCCCCCGGACTGCCTCAGGGGGGCCCGGCCATGGGGCCGCCCTGCTCGCTGCCCCTAGCCCCCGGACCCCGCTGAGCCCCCAGCCCGGCTCCGATGTCGCCGCCGCCTCCTCCGCCTCCGCTTTCGCCCCCCTCCCATCACATGGGGCGCCCCCTCCCCATGCTCCCCGCCCTGCGCCCCCACCCCCTTGGAGCCCCGGGACCTTGGTGCTGTTCCAGGGAGGCGCGCCGGACCGTGCACCCCGGCCTGGGTGGGGGCTCTGAGATGGGCGGGGGAGGGCGGAGCGGACAGTAGTGGGGGCAAATGGGGGAGAGGGAGGAACAGGGGGCAGAAAAGGGGACCTGAGGCTGAGGGAAAAGAAGAACCGGTGCGGTGCGGGGGAGGCAGGGGCGGGGAATGAGGACTCAAGGGACAGGGGCCGCCGATGCGGTAGGAGAGGGGGTCTTGAGGAGGGTGGAAAGCTAGTGGGCTGGCCGTGCGGGGGATTCGCAGGGGCGCGGGGAGGATGCTGGGGATGAAGATACGGGAGGTGGCAGGGGAGGAAGGAGGGAATGGGAGGGGGTGGAAACCCACGGGTCTGGGGTCTGGGCGGGGAGGGGCGTGAGATCCGGGAGAAGAGTCCGGGGGCCTCGCCCGGGCTCGGCTCGGTCCGGATGCGCGCTGTGTCCGGGCGCTACCCTCACATTGAGGAGGAGGCGGCCCCCAGCCCCCCCACCCTGTCTTCCCCCCTCCACCTTCTCTCCACCAGCACCGCTGTCTGCCAAGGCGGTGCAAAATCCAGGACTGGATTTCCCTCCCAAATCCTGGGCTGGATTTCCTGGGACTTGGACTCACCTCCCCTAGCAACCCCCTCCTCTGCACACCAAGGTTAGGAAGCTCTACTGTGGGGTGTGGCGTTTAAGAACAAGGGTGAAAATCGATTTATTGGGTGGACAGGCTGCTGTGAACAGAGCCAACTCAGGGTCACTGTCAATTTTGCAGAAGCTGAAGTTTGAAAGTGGGAGGGCCCCGAAATCCTTTTCCCAGGATGCCTTGTCTCCCCTAGGTACCTAAACATTTTCCATTTCTCATGACCTAGCTCCCCTTCCCACCCCCCCACACTTGATACTTTGACAGGGTCATGACTTGAGACCAATTGTCCCAAAGTGAACTTGGAAAGTGTTCCCCAGGGATGGAGAAAAAAAACGTAAACTTAGTGAAGAGGTGGTATCTTGGGGAAGAGGTAGAGGAGAAAAATCTGAGGGCTTGGGGAGCCAAGGCCACAGGGCACATCAAAGGCTCCAGTTCCAGGTGAAGGGAAAAGGAAGGCCTCTAAGATTGATACCCCCCATACCAAAATGCATCCAGTCTCCATAGCAACTGTAGCGCCAATAGTGCCTCAGAAACAGTGGGAATAAGCAGAGAGGAGGGATCTGTGTGTATAGTGGGTGGGAGACTGGCTGGGGATGTTGGGTTTGTTGAGACGCCACCCTCACACCTGGTTACCCATGTGTGGGAAATTTCGCTCCCTGAATATAAGGACCCTTCAGTTGAGGCAGTACCAGCCAGCCTCTTTCAGTTCTCATTCAGTCTCCTGAGTTTTGCTGGGTAGGATTATTTTAGAAGGTTAAAGAGGAGGTAGGCAGACTGAATCTGCTCTGTGTCCCCCACCCTTCTGGAGGCTTTGGAGTTCAAGACTCCCTGTCCTTCAGCCAGGTCAGGAGGAGGAATCAGGCCAATGTAGAAGTGAGAGTAAACTCTTGGGGTTGGGGTGAGATGGAAGGGGGAGGTCTCTCTGCAGCCTTGGAGACCTCTCCCCAGGACTTGGGGCATCTCAGCAGTCCCCTGATTTGGCGTCCCACCCTCCTGACGCAGCTGAGACTATAATAAGTGCTATCGTGGGCGGCTCTTGGAGGCAGGAGCCAGCATGCTCGGCCTGGTGGGGGGTGATGGGGGGTGCTGAACCAGGATGCTGGGAGCCCTTTGTTCTCCCAGAGGCCTGTACCCAGTCCCTCCAGGGTTCTGTCCCTAGGGGTCAGTAGCTTCTCTCTCCCTCTTTGCTGAATCTCCCAGGACAAGAGAACCCCCTAGTAGTCTTTTTGGAAGAGGAGGATGGAGAATTGTTCACACTGACTTAATCTTCCTTCTTTTGATGACCTCAGTTTTCCTTTATGTTGAATGGGAACACAATCCTAACTCTTAGGGAAGGAGCAGAATAAATCACTAATGACATGTGGGGTCTTCTTAGAGATTTCCACCTCCATCCCCACCTCCCTACCTCCTTCTTCAGAGCTAAGCAGAGCCTTTCTACTTGGCCTAGACCTCTCTCCTTCTCCTCCTTTTTCCTTTCTTTTTAAGAGGGGTGGGGCTTGGAGTTTCTCCTTAGGAGGCCCCATGTGTCTGTCCCCTAGGTCTGCCACTAAGTCTATCAGGGTGCAGTTACTGTAAAGAGTGGGGACAGGAGTTGAGAGTGGCACTAACCTCAGAAGGGCAATGGGAAGAGATCAGACTGTCCACTAGGAACCCAAAGGCTTGGGGAGCCAAGCCTACCCCAAGTGAGCCTTTCCTTCCACAAGTTACACTGCAGTGGCCTCTACCAGCAGGAGATAGCTTTCATGGGAAGAATGGTTTCTTCCCCCTCAAGGAGGCAGCTGAGAATGGAGAGGAACGAGAAGTTGGAAGAGATCAGGATATGACGGACAATGTGCTTCTATCAGACAACTTTCATGAGCAAAGAAATCTGCTTTTGTTAGCTCTTTGCTACCTCAGAGGTGAATGTGCTGAGAGCGAGTGAGAAATGACCTCCAGTTACACCAGTTCCTCAGTGGTGAGGCCTTGTGGATGGAGAGAAGCTGTTCCTGCCTGGGCCCCACCACAGGATTGAAAGCCAGGGTGTGCAGGAGGATGTGGCGGATGGTGTTGCCATGGCAGCACTTCCTCCCTGTGTTGTCATCACTTGCTCTAATGGCACTAAGGAGGTAGAGCGGAAGGTGTGTGGGGGGAAGACAGGAACAGGAGCAAGGGGAGGAGAGGAGACCAAGAAGAGTCCTGAGGACTTCTCTGCACTTCAGCTCTTTCAAGCATTGTGTGAATGTTAGCATGTGCCTGAGAGCCTGAGATTCTGTGTGGTGTACTTCAATGTATGTGTGTGTGTGTTTCTCTCTACAGCTGGAGAACAAGAGGTCACTGATCCTTAGTGGGTCCTGGGAATGAACATATTATCCAGTCCCAGAACCTCCTGCCCCAGACTCTTCCTGTCCTGGACTCCCCAGGCAGGGACTGAGTCCATCACTGGTCTGTCACAGGCCATCTTCCCCATGCTCACCCACTTCTCCATTGCCAAGGTCAGCTCAACAGCGACCTGTAATTTCATTTCCCGGGGATAAGGTCATAGTTGGGGAAAGAGGAAGAATGATACCTCCTCCCATGTCTTTTTCCATCTTCCCCAAGTGTATTCTTCCCCAGAGTCTCCGCTCCAACTTGGGGATAGGAAGTAGCCGATTGGGAAGTGATATATAACACAGCTAACCTCCTTCTCTGCCCCTGTTAGTTCCCAGTACACCCAAACTGGAGGCTGACTCTTCTCTCACCTCGTATGCTGTTCAGTGAAGCTTGGATGCTGTCTCGAAGTTCAACGTTGTCCACCCTATCTGCCAGCTTCCTCAGGCGGCTTAGGGCCTGCTTGGCCACTTCATGTCTTTTGACTTCTGCTCTCACTGCGGCTACAGCTAATTGTCTCTGGGCATGCATGTTGCCCAGACCTGTCTTGCCAGGCTAACAGCAACCTCTGGCCCTGAAGTCCATGGCCCTGAAGCCCCCAAACCCCACAAGGCCCCTTCTGCTGTGCCCCAGAACACTCCGCCCCTGCCCGCCCTTCCGTCTGTGGCCTCACTTCCTGACTGGTGAGTTTCAAACCCACAGCCTGGGACAGCTCTGCCTCCTGTACCTCACACCCCCCCTAGTGTTGGCCCATCAGCCCTGCCAGCCAGCCCTTGCTAGGATTCCCCAGCCAGGTGGATCCCGCCCAGGGCCTCCTGTGGGTGATGGTTAAGATGGGTGGAGAATGTGGCAAGCCAGGTCCCAGGTGCAATCCTAAACTCTTGGTGACCTGCAGATCTGTGTTGTCTCAAACTTTTACAGGAATCCACACACACTTACCCTGTCACCCTCAGAGCCTTGTGTTCTAGGATACACTTGTGCTCACCAGCTTGTCTACACACCCCAACCAGCCCTGCAACATAATCCTTCCCCAGCTAGCTACTCACTTCCACCACCTCCTGTTTAAGAGGCTCAAGTAGTTATGGGGAGAATAAGTTATAGAGGAGAAAAGTAACTTATAACTAGACAAAACTGCCATGTTCCATGTTCGATTAATTACTTTCATAATAATTAACATGTCAATAACATTTAATCGATTACAACACACTTTCACATAAACTACTCTCATGACAGGCCTGAGGGGTAGGATTATTCATCTCTATTCTGCATAAAGGGAAAGTGAAGCTCAAAGAGGCCAGTAAGAGGTCAAAAACAGACATGGATCTAGGTCTTTGGTACCCTTTACACTATACCACATGACCAAGATACTTGCCAGCCAGTTCCCCTATTCCTTAATACCACTCATCTAGGACAGGAAGGATAAAAGGGTGGATGAGGAAATGAAGGAGAGAGTGAAGATGAGGGTTGCCGGTGGGAAGGGGAAAAGAGAGTGGGAGGGGAAAAGAGAGTGGGAGGTGGGAGATGATAGGTAGTTTGACCTCTCTTTCCCAGCCAATGTTTTGTCTCTGTATCTTCTAAATATTAATCTATGACGGACAGGAAATTATAACTATGAATATTTGTGTAGTTGGAGATGAAGAAATCGAGGTTGGTATTACCCACTGGAATCTGTAAAATAGCCTGAACAGTAATAACGAATATTGAGGGTGTACTATGTGCTAAGTACTGTTCTAAGCATTCTACATATGTATATTAACAACCTAACAGGAGATGTATTGTTATTTATCAGTTGAGATAAGTAGTCACACTGACTTTTTAAGTACTTAGCCAAAATATTCATGGAAGCACCGCCCCACCCTCCGCCCCAACGCCCAGCCTCCCATCTCCCTTTCTCTCTCCACCAGACTTTTCCCAGAGGCTCTCCCTAGAATTAGCTCTCTCCATTTTACAAATGAGAAAGTAGTCACAGAGTGTTTAAGTACTTAGCCAAAGGTTACACAGCCAGTAAGTGGCACAGTTGGACCCATGCAACCTGACTAGCTGTAAAACTAAGTATAGGCAGTCATAAACTCGTAAGGGCACACAAATCGTCCTCCGAGGTTGACTGGAGGTTTACTTTTTTGTTCCTTCTAAGACTGCTTCTTACTCCTGGAGGAGAGAGGAATTTTGTCTTTCCTCACTCCCATGAAAAGAACGTTCCGCTAAAGCACTTACTCAGTTATGAGTTACGGATGAACCCGCTCTCGAAGGAAAATACACAGACTCCTCCTTCCCCCTAATTTATACACATCCCAGACTCCTCCCTTTGTCTTCTTTGCAAGCTCTGGATCAGGCATAAGCTCTGGATCAGGCATGTGCTCTGAAGACGCGAGCACACCCGTGTGTGCACCTGTGGCATTGTAACATACAAGAATGCGCCAGCCTGAGGCTGCTTTTCTTCACACTGAATTTCTGACATTGTCACACCCGTTAGGAGTGGCTACGGAAAATGACATGTGTGCTAGTGGACACACAAACGTGAGAATTTGCTCAGTATTGTAGTGCGTGGGGTCCCTGTAGCCGATCTAAATAGCTTAAGATTTGGCTCTTTGGGGAGTTCTGGAGTTTGACGTAATAACAAAACAATGGCGTCATCAAGAGGTCACTGCAGCACAAGGGGAAAGGGGTGGAGCCCTTTCCGCCTAGCTTTCAAAGCGCCTCCTTCCAGCCGCCGGTCTCCGTCTCTCTCTCCACCAAGACTTTTTCCAGAGGCTCCTCCCTAGAATTAGCTTTTTCCAAACTCCGACCAAGGGAAGCTCGTGTTCAATCCGGGTCTTCGGAGTTTAGGCTCTGGTTCCCAGGAGAATCCCTAGAAACCCTGCCCCTAGTTCTAAGTTTTATCCAATGAAGCACCTAAGGCGGGGCGAGGAGGCGGGTCAGTGACGTAATGCAGATTGATTGGCATTCAGACCATCGACGTCCTGGTGTAGCTATGACTTTCGCCAATCCTAAAGCAGGGTAACACGGTGCAGGCGCAGAGGCTTGGGTTTGGCTGGCCTCGATTTAAAGAGACAGAAGCTGTCCGGGTCCTGGAGGACGGTCCCCAATACCCTCCCCCCAAGTCCTTGGGACCATTTGGGTCCTCAGAGCTGGGGATATGGTTTGCGGCGGCTTTGCCTGTTCCAAGAATGCGCTTTGCGCTCTCAACGTGGTCTACATGGTGAGGTTTTGGATGTGGGGGGAAAATTCAGGGCGGAAAGGCGATAGGGGAGAATCTCTAGGGTACTTCTGGTGGGGAGAGGGGTATACTGAGGGTTCCGGGAAGATTCCCAGGAACTTCCGGCGAAGAGGGAATTCCTGGGGACTTCCGTGGAAGAGGGGACACTTCCGGTGCTGAGGGGGTTCGTCGGCGGGTGGGGGGGAATGGACTAAAAGCTGTGAGCATAAAAGGCTCATTACTCCCTCCTGTGAACCTGTTTCTTCCAAAATACATAGAACTGGTGGAGCCATTCCCTATACCCTCTACCCCGGCCAGTCTGACCTCCTTTGGGAGGATCGCCCAGGGATCCTCCTGGTTCCCATAGCACCACTGCTATCCTCAATTCACATAACACTCAATTCTTTTTTTGCCCAAGCCCCCTTGCAATGGCCTTCGGCTATGCTGCACGCTGGAATTCCTTGAGATGTATCCTGTTCTGTTTCCTGTAGCTGGTGGGCTTGTTGCTCATTGGAGTGGCTGCCTGGGGCAAGGGCCTGGGCCTGGTGTCCAGCATCCACATCATTGGAGGAGTCATTGCTGTGGGAGTTTTCCTTCTCCTTATTGCAGTGGCTGGACTGGTGGGTGCCGTCAACCACCACCAAGTCCTGCTATTCTTTGTATCCTGAACTGATGGGGGGGCATCCAGGCTTTGGGGAGGGCTGGGTTAGAGGGTAGATCTCAGGGACTTTGGAGACGTTTCTCTCGGCCCTGCCTTGTTATCATAATCTAAGAAATAAGCTGATTTTATTTTGAATTTGTGGTGGTATTAATTCCATGAATAGACTGGTTAATATAGATGGTAGATAGAACTAGAACAATTTAGAACTGTATCCCGGGCTCAGCGCCTGTGGCTCAAGTGGCTAAGGCACCAGCCACATACACCTAAGCTGGCGGGTTTGAATCCAGCCCGGACCCGCCAAACACTGATGGCTGCAACCAAAAAGAAAAAAAGTCAGGCGTCGTGGCGCGCGCCTGTGGTCCCAGCTACTTGGCAGGCAGAGGCAGGAGACTCACGTGAGCCCAGGAATTGGAGGTTGCTGTGAGCTGTGATACCACAGTACTCTACCCAGGGGAATAGCTTGAGGCTCTGTCTCAAAAAAAAGAACTGTTTCCCATAACTCTTCCTCAGTACATGATCATCCTTGGTTTGGTCTTCATCTTTCAGTTTGTAATCTCTTGCTCATGTCTGGCTATTAACCGAAGCAAACAGGTAAGGAGATACCCTTTTACCCTTTCAAGTACTCCCCCCACACACACACCATTAACTACTTCCTCTCATTCTGGCCCTAACTACCCCAAGGTCATCCTTAGGTCTACTTCCAGACTAGAGCCATTTGCTTCCTCTGGGGTGTTTAATTTTTCATGAAGGTAATCTGGTCTGGGAGAGCCTATGGTGCATATTTTACTGTAGCATACCATGTGCTTTGGAAGGTGGTTGCTTCCCTTTGCTGGAATACAAAAATTGTGGCATTTGAAACAACATCAGGATATAGTGAGATTAATTTCCCTCTGCCTATATCCTTCAGACAGATGTCATCAACGCTTCTTGGTGGGTCATGAGTAACAAAACTCGGGATGAACTGGAAAGAAGTTTTGATTGCTGTGGCTTATTCAACTTCACAACCCTCTACCAACAAGATTATGCTTTCTGCACTGCAGTGAGTGGTGGTGGTGGTGGTGGTGGTGTAGGAAACTGGGCAAGGACGATGTCCAAGCTAACAAGTTAGGTTTTAATGTCATTGCTCTCAACAGCTCTCTTGTAGTTGGGCTGTGTGCTGGGAGCTGAATACAGAGGGATTTTAGACTCTGGGTTTGGTCAGGTAACAGTAAATAAGTCCTGCGGACATTCATCACAAGTATTGGTAAATAGTAACTTTGTATTCTCCACACACCCATTATATCCTCAGATCTGTAAGAGCCAGAGCCCCACATGCCAGATGTGTGGAGAAAAGTTTCTCAAGCATTCAGATGAAGCGCTGAAAATCCTGGGGGGTGTTGGACTCTTCTTTAGCTTTACAGAGGTAACATGCTCCAGTTCCTTCATGTATACTCTTTCTCTCCAATTCTTAACTCCAGAGATTGAGAACTGATTGGTGCTTTCTCTCTCCCTTTGTTCCTACAGATCCTTGGTGTTTGGCTAGCAATGAGATTTCGGAACCAGAAAGATCCTAGAGCCAACCCCAGTGCCTTTCTATGAGACTGTGGAGTCTTCTGACTTCTCTCCTGCTCTAAGCTTTTTCTTCCTCCTTTAGGGAAAAACCTAGGGTCTACAGCCCTTTTTTTGTTTGAGAGAAAGGGAAGGCCCTTCGCTACGTCCCCTAAAACTGACTGAATGGTGAGATTTAATGCCTTGACAATTTTGGTGGGAGCAAGATTATAAGGAATAGGGAAAACTTCCTCCCTCTCTCCCCAGGGGAATATGGGAGGCTTCTGGTAGTACATGACATAAGGCTGGAGTCATTCCCATTTCTCCTCTTTCCCCTTCCACATGCTAGACCACCTCAGCATGCCCTGGTCTGGCTCCAAGAATAAATTGGGGATAGAGCCAAGAAGAAAAGTCACCAAGAACTTGCAATAAGCAAGACCCAGCTTGACAAAGTTCAGTGAATATAAAAATAAAAGCCATTTTAACCCCATATTCGAAGAAGCAACTTAAGTTCCTTTCCAGTCTTTGCTAGTCAAGGGGCTTCACTGATTGTGTAAGCCCTATAACTGAAAGAGTCTTTAAGGTTTTGCAGGGAAGTTCCTTCTTCTGAGCAGTTTTTTCAAATCTCCCAATGGCAAAGTCAAACAAAGGAAGAAACATTAAAAAAAAAAAATAAAGACCGTATTTCTTTGTTTTGTTTTGTTTTTCCTGTATAAAAAAGGACCCTGATATCAAGGTAGGTAGGGGAATAAGGGATATACCCCTTAGTGTAGATAGAAAAGGGGATAGGAGGAGAAACCTCAAAAGGAGGGGTAGGAGGGGAACGTCATTAAGGCAGCAAAATACTCTGTAAAAAGCTGGAAGAGGAATCTCCACAGCTTCAGAGATGAAGGCACAGATTGCCTTCTCAGTGGGGTTCTTTCCACTCAAGTGTCCAGAAGGGAAATGGCAGCTTCACTTCCTTTTGTGGCAGCCACTCTATTGCTCACTTGGATTACCTTCATCCTTCTGAAGATAAGAATGCTGCAGAGCTCGGAAGGCAGAAATTCGCTTGTGTGGGTTAAAAGTCAGCATTTCCTGAGGGGAGAAAGCAAAGGTCAGAAAACTGTAAAGGGGGAAAAAAAAAAAGACTTCTGCCCACCCCCAACAATACCTGGGATAAGCTCTCTTCTACATCCCTGTGGCTGACCAGTCACAGCTATGATAAAAACCACAGCCCGGGGCCAGGTGTGGTGGCTCACACCTGTAATCCTAGCACTCTTGGGAGGCCAAAGCTGGAGGGCTGCTTGAACTGAGAAGTTTGAGACCAGCCTGAACAAGAGTGAGACCTCATCTCTACTAAGAATAGAAAAAAACTAGCCAGGTATGGTGGCGAGCACGTGTAGTCCCAGCTACTTGCGAAGGTCAAGCATGAGGATCACTTGAGGCTAAAGAGTTTGAGGTTGTTGTGAGCTATGATGACGCCAGAGGCATTCTACCCAGGGCAACAGAGATTCTTATCTTGAAAACAAATTGGGGCGGCGCCACAGGGCTCAAAGGAGTAGGGGGCCGGCCCCATATGCTGGAGTTGGTGGGTTCAAACCCAGCTCCAGCCAAAAAAAAAAAAAAAAAAAAAAAAAAAAAAAAGTTAAAAAAAAAAAAAAAGGCTACAGCTTACCTAGCAATGAAGTCTAAATAACCATAACTATAAGAAACTCCAATGTTTCTTACCAATCTCACCCTGTGCCTATCTCTATATTCATGCCCATGCCCATCCCCAGTACCAGCAGCAGCTGTGCTCCAGACTCCTCCAGCTCAGGCACCACTGACTGCACTGGGCGGGGCCCTCTTGGAGGAAAGGCTCCTCGGGGTAGAGAGACATCCCTGGGCCAGTCATCCTCTGGAGGCAGCCCTATCAGGCTACAGGGGGTCAGGAGAACTCTGGTCAGGAAGGTCCTTCTCCAGGCCCCACCCCCACAGGCAAAGCCAGGGGCCACTAGGACTCAACAGAAAGAAGATTCAGAGTGGAAAATTCTACCCCACCCCCCTGCACTGTTCACTTACTCAAAGATTTTGCCCAACTGGTCAGCTTCAGAGTTTCCACAGAAGAGAGGCCTAAGGTAAGAAGGGACACAAGGTGGTGGTCATTTTCAAAGACATCCTGGTTGAATGGTACTGCCTAGGGGCTCAAAATTGAGAATATAGAGAATAAAGAGATGTGAAGTTCCTAATGCCAGAATATTTCAGAGCTTCTGGTTATGGGACAAAGTGGTCAATACTAATCAGGTAAAAGAACTGGCAGAATGTGGATGTGGTTTATGAATAAGACATTTGGGGAATTCATGGTGGTTCAGGGGACTTGGATCCCATACTTTCGACGAAACATCTCTGCAAAAATACAGCCAACGCTCCACATGTCCACAGGTGTTGCATATGTAGACTGCAAGAGAACTTCTGGAGCTCGGTACCAGAGGGTAACAACCTAAAGAGAACAGGAATTGTGAATGAGAGCAAATGCTTTACTGAAGACACTAAGCACATAACTTCTCAACTGTTGTGGGCAATCACTCTCCTACCCCCAACAAGAACCCACTGTGGCTACTGTCTCATACTGACCACAGGTGTAAGTGCCATCTGGTAGCTGTAGATTCTAGCCAGGCCAAAGTCAGCCAGCTTGACTGTCCCACCACTTGTCACCAGAATATTCTCTGGCTTCAGATCTCGATGAACAATGCAATTAGCATGCAGGAAATCAAGGCCTCTTAGAAATTGTCGCATCAGATCCTAGATTGGAAAGGGGAAGCAGAGACACACTGGAAATGTGGTACTATACCCCAACCCCCAACAGGTTCTACTACCAAAATCCCCATCTACCTCTTTCAGTGTCTACCCACCTCACTTACCTTGATGGTCTCAGCTGGCAAGCCTGGTGGGGGTGCCTTGTCCAGATAAGTTCTTAGGTCTTGGTCTACATGCTCAAACACCAGGGTGACTTTAATCTCCCGGTCAGTTCGGGATGTGGCACAGACGTCCATGAGCCTGGCCAGAATAAATGGTCACTCACTGGTCAATCCTCTTTGATGTAACATGACTGACATCCCATATTTCCTCAAGGTCCCCACTTCTCTCCTGACCACCACACCCCACTACAGGGTGTGTTTTTCCCTTTACTTCCCACTCCCAACCCTCCATCACCTTCTCACCGAACAACATTGGGGTGCTCAAAAGCCTCCAGCCGCCTTAGTAAGGCCACCTCTCGAACTGTGCTGATGGGAAGGCCCCCTCCAGCTCCTCCTCCATTGGGCACTCTTACACTCTTGAGGGCCACAAAGTGGCCACTGTGGGGATCACGGGCCTTGTACACTGTCCCATAGGCACCGACACCAATTTCAGCCACTGGCTCATACCGAGAGGTAGCCATTCTCAGATCAGGGGAGGTCCTACAATCACAGAGACTCCTACCACCAAAATTCCCTTCCAGAGTTAGGATGGTAAGAACCTCTAGCAACAAAGCGACTCCCGCGAAAGAAAGCACAAAGACAACCCCACCAGCATCCCATCCCCTCCCAACCTTCCATGTGGCTGGCCCCTGAGATAACACAACGACTCTAATATCAACCTCTCTAGCCACGTGAGGACCTAGAATAAAAATGCCTTTTCCTTTGCGGCCATCACGCCCTGCACAAAGGAGCTCACACATGGCACACGTCTTGCATCGAAGATCCTGCATCCCAGACTCTAAAACTACACCTCCCCACAACCACAAAGGCCCCACTTCCCGCCCTTGAGCTACTCTTCCATAACCAGCCGAGAAGAGCACGCGTGGGAAACCGTGGGAGGCGGGGACTGGTCCTCATTCCTGGGAAGGGGCTGCACTTACCTCGCGGCAGGCCAGGAGCTGCGGGGGCGGCCCGTTATCGGGGCCCCGGAGCCAGTTCTTGCGGCGCCATATACCCGAGCTCGGTCCCGGGTAGCTGGACGCTATGGGCCCGACCATAGACACAGGCCGCAAGCTAGAGAGGCCCCCTCACCCCCACCCTCACCATGTGACCAGCTGCCAAAGAGGCGCGCGGAAACTGGGGGGCGTGGCGAACGCCGGACGTTTGGGGCACGTGATTGCCACCCATGCGCAGGAGCTGCTTTGACTGGGAGGGGGCAAAGAGGGCAAGGGGGCGGAGGGGCTATGGCAGCCACGTGATGTGTTGCTATCACACGTGACCGCTTGACATTGCTCCGCGGAGCAGAGGTGTGGTTACGCTGCGGGGCACGTGACTGGCTGCTATAACTCCAGCTGGGAGCGGGGTGGGGTTGGGGGGAGCGAGAGAGGGTGGAGCCCAAGGCGGTGCCATGGTAACCTGGGCCACCCAGATCCCAACTGTGGGCTGAGAGCCAGTCTGAGCGCATCTCCAGTCTCACCACTATGTTGATGGAGGGCGGGGAGGCGGGCAGGGGCCGAGGTACTAGAGGTGGTGCTGTCATCTCATCGTTTCACCACCTTGGAAAAACGTATTCTCATTTGTGCCTTTGTTTCACTCATTCTACAAAACTGTACTAGTGCTTGCTTTCAGTGTGTATGTAGGGTTTCAATTTTGTTTAGTTTGTTTTCTGGTGTCTCAGTCACTAGCCCTTTAAAGTAGTAGTGCAAGGCTGGGCGCAGTGGCTCGCACTTGTAATCCTAGCACTCTGGGAGGCCGAGTCCGGTGGATTGCCTGGGCTCAGGACTTTCAAGACCAGCCAGAGACCTCTTCTGTAAAAAAAAAAAAAAAAAGCCGGATATTGTTTTGGGCGCATGTAGTCCCAGCTACTTGGGAGTCTGAGGCAAGAGAACCACTTAAGCCCACGAATTTGAGGTTGCTGTGAGCTGTGATGCTATGGCACTCTACCAAGCGTGACAAAGTGAGACCCTGTCTCAAAAAATAAAATAAAATAAAGTAGTGGTGCAGCTATCTATGAAGATGTAGTTAACAGTGTGGTCCTATAAAGGAGAGAGTGGACAATACCAATTCGAGGGCAAAACTAGGCGTAAAGGATGGGTGGAAGGCAAATTAATACAGTAATCCAACAGCAAGGATGGCTAGGTAATAAGCCCTCTCTCTTCCCAGCTTCCAAATCTCCCTGCAATGTTAAAGCAGCGGCCTGATGTCGGAGAAAGAGTAGTTAAAAAAAAAAAAAAATACAGAGGGCTGGGCGAGGTGGCTCACGCCTCTAATCCTTGCACTCTGGGAGGCCGAGATGGGTGGATTGCTTGAGGTCATGAGTTTGACACCAGCCTGAGCAAACGCGAGACCCCATCTCTACTAAAAATAGAAAAACTGAGGCAAGCCCGAGTTGGAGGTTGCAGACGCTACAGGCCCTCTACACAGAATGACAGCTTGAGACTCTGTCTAAAAAAAAAAAAAAATGCAGAGACCTGATGCCTGCCATCTGATAGAGAAGTTATTGATGAGAGGACAGGAATACTTGACCTTTAAAGTTTTTTCAGTACTGGCTCCTATGGCTCAAGTGGCTAAGGTGCCAGCCACATACACCTAAGGTGGTGGGTTCGAATCCAGCCCAGCCGGCCAAACAACAATGACAGCTGCAACCAAAAAATAGCCGGGCTTTGTGGCAGGAGCCTGTGGTCCCTGCTACTTGGGAGGCTGAGGCAGGAGACTCACTTGAGCCCAGGAGCTGGAGGTTGCTGTGAGCTTTGATGCCACAGCACTCTACCCAGGGGGACAGCTTGAGGCTCTGT